GTGTCTCTGTCCCCTGTCTCTGCCAGACCCGGGGCTAGTTCCCTCCCTGTCTCTCTGTCCCCTGTCTCTACCAGACCCAGGGCTAGTTCCCTCTCTGTCCCCTGTCTCTACCAGACCCAGGGCTAGTTCCCTCCCTGTCTCTCTGTCCCCTGTCTCTACCAGACCCAGGGATAGTTCCCTCCCTGTCTCTCTGTCCCCTGTCTCTACCAGACCCAGGGTTAGTTCCCTCCCTGTCTCTCTGTCCCCGGTCTCTGCCAGACCCAGGGCTAGTTCTCTGTCCCCTGTCTCTACCAGACCCTGGGCTAGTTCCCTCCCTGTCTCTCTGTCCCCTGTCTCTCTGTCCCCTGTCTCTGTCCCCTGTCTCTGCCAGACCCAGGGCTAGTTCCCTGTCTCTCTGTCCCCTGTCTCTACCAGACCCGGGGCTAGTTCCCTCCCTGTCTCTCTGTCCCCTGTCTCTGCCAGACCCGGGGCTAGTTCCCTTCCTGTCTCTCTGTCCCCTGTCTCTCTGTCCCCTGTCTCTACCAGACCCAGGGCTAGTTCCCTCCCTGTCTCTCTGTCCCCTGTCTCTACCAGACCCAGGGCTAGTTCTCTGTCCCCTGTCTCTGCCAGACCCAGGGCTAGTTCCCTCCCTGTCTCTCTGTCCCCTGTCTCTCTGTCCCCTGTCTCTCTGTCCCCTGTCTCTACCAGACCCAGGGCTAGTTCCCTCCCTGTCTCTCTGTCCCCTGTCTCTGCCAGACCCAGGGCTAGTTCCCTCCCTGTCTCTCTGTCCCCTGTCTCTACCAGACCCAGGGATAGTTCCCTGGTGTTTCAGTGGAAGGATCCCCTTCCCGCTTATCCTTCTCTGATTCAGGGAATCCTCTAGTTGGGATTTCTGAAGAAAAAAAACAGGAAGCTTTTGGAAGTTTTTTTTTTTGTGAAGTTCGCAACATGTATTTGCCCTCTGTTAAGTCCATAACATTGTCAGTGTAATGGCTTCCCTGCAGGTAGTGACTGGCTCTGTTTTTACCTCTTCCAGTGGAGGCGTTGACGTTCCCTCCCTCCTCAGGAAAGTCCTTCATAATGGGTCCTGATGAGAACATGGCGGCTGATCTGGGACTGGGGGAGCTGGCTGGTCTTACGGTATCCAACGAGGCTGATAGCCTGGGATACGACGTGAGTAGTACCTCCTTGAGGACTAAATACAATCGGCACACATCCACTCTTCTTCCTGTTCCCAAAGAACTCTAAAGCTACCTGCCACACTAACTACCTCCCTGCAGCATGACTCAATTGTTATGGTGGGAGATTATAGTACGGTTTTAAGTCCCTCAATGGACCGTAAAGGAAGTCACATTACAAACTATCACCCTCATGCACTTAAAGAAATTATGAATATTATGCATATATTGGAACTAGTTGATATGTGGAGGATTAAATATCAAGCTAGTCGTCTTCAATACTTATGTCATTCTCGCTGGCGCCAAAAGTTTGATAGTGGACAGACGGTCGGACCATCAAGTAATTGGTATACACATTACTCTCACAGATTTTCCACGAGGGCGAGGATATTGGAAACGTGTTTTTAACCAGGACAGAATAATTTATAACTGACTTTTTCCGACATAACCTAGTTACAGCAGATCCCCTTATTGTAATGGACACGTTTAAATGTGCCTTCAGAGGCCATGCAATTCAATACTCATGTTTAAAACAAAAACGATTTAGGTCCAAAGAGTCCATATTAACAAAGGAAATAGAGGGACTAACAGTACAGATAGATAGAAATAAAAACTGTAACATAGAGGCACAGAATAAGTTAGAGGAAAAACTAAAAGAAATTGAAGAAATTATTCAAGAAAAATCAAGTGTAATATATTATAAAAAATTAAACAAACTGCAATATGAATATGGAGGAAAATGCACCAAATTATTTTTTACATCTTCAACATAGAAATGCTACCAAAAATTATTTAAAGAAACTTGTTACAAATGACGGTCACCCATGAATTCACCAAACGATATTTTGAAAGAGGAAGCAAAGTACTTTAAGCATACGTTTTCATTTCAGTCTCCTCCATCTCCACTAACCAAAGTTAATTGTAAGGATTAATTTTCTATTAATAGCGTGAAATTAACAGCCATACAGAAAGACTCATGTGATGGCCTAATTACAGAGGAGGATCTTCTACAGTGGGGAAAACAAGTATTTGATACACTGCCGATTTTGAATAAATGCAAATTAATTACTTAAAAATCATACAATGTGATTCCGTCTCTCACAGTTGAAGTGTACCTATGATAAAAATTACAGACCTCTACATGCTTTGTAAGTAGGAAAACCTGCAAAATCAGCAGTGTATCAAATACTTGTAGATGCAATTAAAGCCTTCAAGTACAGGAAAACTCCAGGGCTGGATGGCATACCAGTTGAGGTATATCAAATATTTTTCGATGTACTCAAAAGGTCCGTTATTAACATGTTTTAACCACTCCTATAGAAATGGTAGACTATCAGATACTCAGCAAGAAGGTCCGATTTTTTACTATAACAGGACCCAGGTGGTAAAAATAAAGATCCAGTCTTCCTAAAAAAAATGGTGTTGTGATGCCAAAATCGTAGCAAAATGCTTAGCGCATAGAATTAAAAAGGTATTGTCGGATATTATTCATCCTAATCAGACAGGTTTTTTTACATGGACGATACATTGGAGATAATACAGTGCATTGGGGAAGTATTCAGACCCCTGGAGTAGACCCAAGAAACCCGATGGTTTCTCTGACAGAGCTCCAGAGTTCCTCTGAGGAGATGGGAGAACCTTCCAGAAGGACAACCATCTCTGCAGCCCTCCACCAATCAGGCCTTTATGGTAGAGTGGCCAGATGGAAGCCACTCCTCAGTAAAAGGCACATGACAGCCCGCTTGGAGTTTGCCAAAAGGCACCTAAAGGACTCTCAGACCATGAGAAACAAGATTCTCTGGTCTGATGAAACCAAGATTGAACTCTTTGGCCTGAATGCCAAGCATCACGTCTGGAGGAAACCTGCCACCATCCCTACGGTGAAGCATGGTGGTAGCAGCATCATGCTGTGGAACTCATTACCTCAAAGCTCATCACTAAGCTAAGGATCATGGGACTAAACCCCTCCCTCTGCAACTGGATCCTGGACTTCCTGACGGGCCGCCCCCAGGTGGTAAGGGTCGGCAACAACACATCCGCCATGCTGACCCTCAACACATGGGCCCCTCAGGGGTGCGTGCTCAGTCCCCTCCTGTACTCCCTGTTCACCCATGACTGCATGGCCAGGCACGACTCCAACACCATCATTAAGTTTGCAGACGACACAACAGTGGTAGGCCTGATCACCGACAACAATGAGTCAGCCTACAGGGAGGAGGTCAGAGACCTGGCCGTGTGGTTTCAGGACAACAACCTCTCCCTCAACGTGAGCAAGACTAAGGAGCTGATCGTGGACTACAGGAAACGGAGGGGCGAGCACGCCCCCGTCCACATTGACACGGCTGCAGTGGAGCGGGTCGAGAGCTTCAAGTTCCTCGGTGTCCAAATCACTAAGGACTTAAAATGGTCCATACACTCAAACAGTCGTGAAAAAGGCACTACAGCACCTCTTCCCCATTCGGGAGGTTGAAAGCTGCACCATTGAGCGCATCTTGATTGGCTGCATCACTGTTTGGTACAGCAACTGCACTGCCCTTGATTGCATGGCGCTACAGAGGGTGGTGAGTACGGCCCAGTACATCACTGGGGCCGCGCCCCCTGCCATCCAGGACCTCTATACCAGGCGGTGTGAAAGGAAGGCCCGGACTCCAGCCAACCAAGCAATCTCTGCTTCCGCATGGCAAGCTGTACCGGAGCTGCAAGTCTGACACCAACAGGCTCCTGAACAGCTTCAATCCCCAAACCATAAGACTGCTAAATAGCTAACTAAATGGCTACACAGACTATCTGACTTGACCGTTCTATTTAATGTTTTAGTTTTGCACTGACTCTATGCACACTCACACTAACACTCCAAACACACAAACACATTCATACTGACTCTATGATGTCTGAATAAATACTGTACTATACTGTACATTACTGATTTCTGAATATATACATTACTATACATTACTGATGTCTGAATATATACATTACTGATGTCCGAATATATACATTACTATACATTTCTGATTTCTGAATATATACATTACTGATTTCTGAATATATACATTACTGATGTCTGAATATATACATTACTGATGTCTGAATATATACATTACTGATGTCTGAATATATACATTACTATACATTACTGATTTCTGAATATATACATTACTGTACATTACTGATGTCTGAATATATACATTACTGATTTCTGAATATATACATTACTGATTTCTGAATATATACATTATTGATTTCTGAATATATACATTACTGATGTCTGAATATATACATTACTGATGTCTGAATATATACATTACTGATGTCCGAATATATACATTACTGATGTCCGAATATATACATTACTATACATTACTGATTTTTGAATATATACATTACTGATTTCTGAATATATACATTACTGATGTCTGAATATATACATTACTGATGTCCGAATATATACATTACTATACATTACTGATTTCTGAATATATACATTACTGATGTCTGAATATATACATTACTGATGTCTGAATATATACATTACTGTACATTACTGATTTCTGAATATATACATTACTGATGTCTGAATATATACATTACGGATGTCTGAATATATACATTACTGATGTCTGAATATATACATTCCTGTACATTACTGATTTCTGAATATATACATTACTGTACATTACTGATTTCTGAATATATACATTACTGATTTCTGAATATATACATTACTGATGTCTGAATATATACATTACTGATGTCTGAATATATACACTACTGATGTCTGAATATATACATTACTGATGTCTGAATATATACATTACTGATGTCTGAATATATACATCACTGATGTCTGAATATATACATTACGGATGTCTGAATATATACATTACTGATGTCCGAATATATACATTACTATACATTACTGATTTCTGAATATATACATTACTGATTTCTGAATATATACATTACTGATGTCTGAATATATACATTACTGATGTCCGAATATATACATTACTATACATTACTGATTTCTGAATATATACATTACTGATTTCTGAATATATACATTACTGATGTCTGAATATATATATTACTGTACATTACTGATTTCTGAATATATACATTACTGATGTCCGAATATATACATTACTATACATTACTGATTTCTGAATATATACATTACTGATTTCTGAATATATACATTACTGATGTCTGAATATATACATTACTGTACATTACTGATTTCTGAATATATACATTACTGATGTCTGAATATATACATTACGGATGTCTGAATATATACATTACTGTACACTACTGATGTCTGAATATATACATTAATGATGTCTGAATATATACATTACTGATGTCTGAATATATACATTACTGATGTCTGAATATATACATCACTGATGTCTGAATATATACATTACCGTTCAAAAGTTTTGGGTCACGTTAGAAATGTCCTTGTTTTCCATGAAAACATACATGAAATTAGTTTGAATAGGAAATATAGCAAAATGAATAGGAGATGTAGTCATTGACAAGGTTAGAAATAATGATTTTTAATACAAATAATAATTGTGTCCTTCAAACTTTGCTTTCGTCAAAGAATCCTCCATTTGCAGCAATTACAGCCTTGCAGACCTTTGGCATTCTAGTTGTCAATTTGTTGAGGTAATCTGAAGAGATTTCACCCCATGCTTCCTGAAGCACCTTTCCACAAGTTGGATTGGCTTGATGGGCACTTCTTACGTACCATACGGTCAAGTTGCTCCCACAACAGCTCAATAGGGTTGAGATCCGGTGACTGTGCTGGCCACTCCATTATAGACAGAATACCAGCTGACTGCTTCTTCCCTAAATAGTTATTGCATAGTTTGGAGCTGTGCTTTGGGTCATTGTCCTGTTGTAGGAGGAAATTGGCTCCAATCAAGCGCCGTCCACAGGGTATGGCATGGCGTTGCAAAATGGAGTGATAGCCTTCCTTCTTCAAGATCCCTTTTACCCTGTACAAATCTCCCACTTTACCACCACCAAAGCACCCCCAGACCATCACATTGCCTCCACCATGCTTGACAGATGGCATCAAGCACTCCTCCATCATCTTTTCATTTGGTCTGCGTCTCACAAATGTTCTTCTTTGTGATCCGAACACCTCAAACTTCGATTCGTCTGTCCATAACACTTTTTTCCAATCTTCCTCTGTCCAGTGTCTGTGTTCTTTTGCCCATCTTAATCTTTTCTTTTTATTGGCCAGTCCGAGATATGGCTTTTTCTTTGCAACTCTGCCTAGAAGGTCAGCATCCCGGAGTCGCCTCTTCACTGCTGACGTTGAGACTGGTGTTTTGTGGGGTACTATTTAATGAAGCTGCCAGTTGAGGACCTGTGAGGCGTCTGTTTCTCAAACTAGACGCTCTAATGTATTTGTCCTCTTGCTCAGTTGTGCACCGGGGCCTCCCACTCCTCTTTCTATTCTGGTTAGAGCCAGTTTGCGCTGTTCTGTGAAGGGAGTAGTACACAGCGTTGTACGAGATCTTCAGTTTCATGGAAATTTCTCGCATGGAATAGCCTTAATTTCTCAGAACAAGAATAGACTGACGAGTTCTTTGTTTCTGGCCATTTTGAGCCTGTAATCGAACCCACAATTGCTGATGCTCCAGATACTCAACTAGTCTCAAGAAGGCCAGTTTTAAACTTGGATTAGCAAACACAACGTGCCATTGGAACATAGGACTGATGGCTGCTGATAATGGGCCTCTGTACGCCTATGTACAGTTGAAGTCGGAAGTTAACATACACTTAGGTTGGAGTCATTAAAACTAGTTTTTCAAACACTCGTTTTTCAAAACTATAGTTTTTGCAAGTCGGTTAGGACATCTACTTTGTGCATGACAGAAGTAATTTTTCCAACAATTGTTTACAGACCGATTATTTCACTTATAATTCACTGTATCACAATTCCAGTGGGTCAGAAGTTTACATACACTAAGTTGACTGTGCCTTTAAACAGCTTGGACAATTCCAGAAAATGATGTCATGGCTTTAGAAGCTTCTGATAGGCGAATTGACATAATTTGAGTCAATTGGAGGTGTACCTGTGTATGTATTTCAAAGCCTACCTTCAAACTCAGTGCCTCTTTGCTTGACATCATGGGAAAATCAAAAGAAATCAGCCAAGACCTCAGAAAATAAATTGTAGACCTCCACAAGTCTGGTTCATCCTTGGGAGCAATTTCCAAACGCCTGAAGGTACCACGTTAATCTGTACAAACAATAGTACACAAGTATAAACACCATGGGACCACGCAGCCGTCATACCGCTCAGGAAGGAGACGCGTTCTGTCTCCCTAGAGAGGAACGTACTTTGGTGCAAATCAATCCCAGAATAACAGCAAAGGACCTTGTGAAGATGCTGGAGGAAACAGGTACAAAAGTATCTATATCCACAGTAAAACAAGTCCTATATCGACATAACCTGAAAGGCCGCTCAGCAAGGAAGAAGCCACTGCTCCAAAACTACAGTTTGCAACTGCACATGGGGACAAAGATCGTACTTTTTGGAGAAATGTCCTCTGGTCTGATGAAACAAAAATAGAACTGTTTGGCCATAATGACCATCGTTATGTTTGGAGGAAAAGTGGGGGGGGGGCTTACAAGCCAAAGAACACCATCCCAACCGTGAAGCATGGGGGTGGCAGCATCATGCTGTGGGGGTGCTTTGCTGCAGGAGGGACTGGTGCACTTCACAAAATAGATGGCATCATGAGGAAGGAAAATTACGTGGATATATTGAAGCAACATCTCAAGACATCAGTCAGGAAGTTAAAGCTTGGTCGTAAATGGGTTCCAAATGAACAATGACCCCAAGCATACTTCCAAAGTTGTGGGAAAATGGCTTAAGGACAACAAAGTCAAGGTATTGGAGTGGCCATCACAAAGCCCTGACCTCAAGCCTATAGAAAATGTGTGGGCAGAACTGAAAAGGCGTGTGCGAGCAAGGAGGCCTACAAACCTGACTCAGTTACACCAGCTCTGTCAGGAGGAATGGGCCAAAATTCACCCAACTTATTGTGGTAGGCTTGTGGAAGGCTACCCGAAACGTTTGACCCAAGTTAAACAATTTAAAGACAATGCTACCAAATACTAATTGAGTGTATGTAAACTTCTGACTCACTGGGAATGTGATGAAATAAATAAAAGCTGAAATAAATCATTCTCTCTACTATTATTCTGACATTTCACATTCTTAAAATAAAGTGGATCCTAACTGACCTAAGACAGGGCATTTTTACTAGGATTAAATGTCAGAATTGTGAAAAACTGAGTTTAAATGTATTTGGCTAAAGGTGTATGTAAACTTCCGACTTCAACTGTACATTACTATACATTACGGATGTCTGTCCACTCAATACCTTCCTCAACTACAACAAGCACTAAATGCATTAACAAGAGCTGTTCACATACAGACTTTATCTACCCATAATCCATGGCGTTTACCCTACTCAGATCTCCAACAACCAGGATGCCCTGAGGAGGACGTGGAAACCCAAGTTCACCCTGCGGAGCCACTTCGAACGGGATCCGGGTCTGGCGTTCCACCCCGTAGAACCGGTTCTAGTCACCGCCTCAGAGGACCACACGCTGAAGATGTGGAACCTGCAGAAGACTGCCCCCACCAAGAAGTAAGACTGACCCTCTGTCTAATAACACTATAATATTAACCCTAACCTGCAGAAGACTGCCCCCACCAGGAAGAAGACTGACCCTCTGTCTAATAACACTATAATATTAACCCTAACTGCAAGACTGCAAAGACTGACCCTCTGTCTAATAGCACATAATATTAACCCTAACCAGCAGAAGACACAGGGAAGACTACACTCTTGTCTACTTCACTAAAGCAGAGACTTAGACTAGAGATGTTCCTCTCCACACCAGTTTGAGTCAATTCCCTCACCAGGTCTTGGTTAAGCAAAATCCTCTCACCAGGTTTTGGAGTCAATCGTCTCTCACCAGGTTTGGAGTCCATTCCTCATTGGGAGAAGTTTGAAATTTCAGGTTTTACTTCGTACGTTACTTCTGAATTTAATAAATGAAAATGGAATTGACTCCAAACCTGGTGAGAGGAATTGACTCCAAACCTGGTGAGAGGAGTTGACTCCAAACCTGGTGAGAGGCAATTGACTCCAAACCTGGTGAGAGGAATTGACTCCAAACCTGTGAGAAGGATTTGACTCCAAACCTGGTGAGAGGAGTTGACTCCAAACCTGGTGAGAGGAATTGACTCCAAACCTGGTGAGAAGAGTTGACTCCAAACCTGGTGAGAGGAATTGACTCCAAACCTGGTGAGAGGAGTTGACTCCAAACCTGGTGAGAGGAAATGTTGCCTTTATACAGTCCAGATTGTCTATATAGTTTACAACGAACTAACTCACTATTTCTCTCTCTGTCTTTATCTCCAGGAGTGCCTCTCTTGACGTGGAACCCATCTACACGTTCAGGGCCCACCAGGGTGCAGTGCTGTGTGTAGTGATGAGCAGTACAGGAGAGCAATGTTTCAGTGGAGGGGTGGACGGGACCATTCAGAGCTGGAACACCCCTAACCCTAACGTAGACCCATATGACTCATACGGTAAGAACAGAGGTCTGGCTGGCTGCCTGTATCTCTCTCTCTGTCTCGGCTCTCTCTCTCTGTCTCGGCTCTCTCTCTCTGTCTCGGCTCTCTCTCTCTGTCTCGGCTCTCTCTCTCGGCTCTCTCTCTCTCTGTCTCGGCTCTCTCGCTCTCTGTCTCGGCTCTCTCTCTCTCTCTCTCTGTCCTCGGCTCTCTCTCTCGCCTCTCTGTCTCGGCCTCTCTCTTCTCGTCTCGCTCTCTTGCTCGGCTCTCTGCTCTCCTCGTCTCTCTGCTGCTCGGCTCCTCTCTCGGCTCTCTCGGCTCTCTCCTCTCTGTCTCGGCTCTCTCTTCTGTCTCGGCTCTCTTCTCTCTGTCTCGCTCTCTGTCTCGGCTCTCTCTCGTCTCGGCTCTCTCTCTCTGGTCTCCTCTCCTCTCTGCTCTCGGCTCTCTCTCTGTCTCGTCTCTCTCTCTCTCTCTGTCTCGGCTCTCTCTGTCTCGGCTCTCTCTCTCGGCTCTCTGTCTCGGCTCTCTGTCTCTGCTGCTCTCTCTCCTTCGGTCTTCTCTCTCTGTCTCGGCTCTCTGTCTCGGCTCTCTCTGCTTTTCTCGGCTCTCTCGTCTGGCTCTCTCTCTCTCGTCTCCTCTCTCGGCTCTCCTCCTCTGTCTCGGCTCTCTCTCTCGCTCTCTCTTCTCCTCTCTGGCTTCTCTCTCGCTTCTCTCGGCTCTCTCTTCTCTCTCTCTCGGCTCTCTCTCTCTCTCTCTCGGCTCTCTCTCTCTCGCTTTCTGTCTGTTTCTCTGCCTCTGTTTCTTCCTCCGTTTGTCTACATACACAGTGCATTCGGAAAGTATTCAGACCCCTTTCATTTTTCCACATTTTGTTACATTACAGCCTTATTCTGAAATGGATTAAATTGTTTTTTTCCCCTCATCAATCTACACACAATACCCCATAATGACATTTTTGCAAATGTATTAAAAATAAACAACTGAAATATCACATTTACATAAGTATTCAGACCCTTTACTCAGTATTTTGTTGAAGCACCTTTGGCAGTGATTACAGCCTCGAGTCTTCATGGGTATGATGCTACAAGCTTGGCACACCTGTATTTGGGGAGTTTCTCCCATTCTTCTCTGCAGATCCTCTCAAGCTCTGTCAGGTTGGATGGGGAGCGTCGCTGCACAGCTATTTTCAGGTCTCTCCAGAGATGTTCGATCGGGTTCAAGTCTGGGCTCCGGCTGGGCCACTCAAGGACATTCAGAGACTTGTTCCGAAGCCACTCCTGCGTTGTCTTGGCTGTGTGCTTAGGGTCGTTGTCTTGTTGGAAGGTGAACCTTCGCCCCAGTCTGAGGTCCTGAGCGCTCTGGAGCAGGTTTTCATCAAGGATCTCTCTGTACTTTGCTCCGTTCATCTTTCCCTCGATCCTGACTAGTCTCCCAGTCCCTGCTGCTGAAAAACATCCCCACAGCATGATGTTGCCACCACCATGCTTCACCGTAGGGATGGTGCAAGGTTTCCTCCAGACGGGACGCTTGGCATTCAGGCCAAAGAGTTCAATCTTGGTTTCATCAGACCAGAGAATCTTGATTCTCATGGGCTGAGTAGGTTAGGTGCCTTTTGGCAAACTCCAAGCGGGCTGTCATGTGCCTTTTACTGAGGAGTGGCTTCTGTCTGGCCACTCTACCATAAAGGCCTGATTGGTGGAGTGCTGCAGAGATGGTTGTCCTTCTGGAAGGTTCTCCCATCTCCACAGAGGAACTCTGGAGCTCTGTCAGAGTGACCATTGGGTTCTTGGTCACCTCCCTGACCAAGGCCCTTCTCCCCCGATTGCTCAGTTTGGCCGGGCGGCCAGCTCTAGGAAGAGTCTTGGTGGTTCCAAACTTCTTCCATTTAAGAATGATGGAGGCCACTGTGTTCTTGGGGACCTTCAATGCTGCAGAAATGTTTTGGTACCCTTCCCCAGATCTGTGCCTCGACACAATCCTGTCTCGGAGCTCTACGGACAATTCCTTCGACCTTATGGCTTGGTTTTTGCTCTGACATGCTCTGACCCTTTGCTATGAGACTCGAAATTGAGCTCAGGTGCATCCTGTTTCCATTGATCATCCTTGAGATGTTTCAACAACTTGATTGGAGTCCACCTGTGGTAAATTCAATTGATTGGACATGATTTGGAAAGGCACACACCTGTCTATATAAGGTCCCACTGTTGTGGTGTGTGCCTTTCCAAATCATGTCCAATCAATTGAATTTACCACAGGTGGACTCCAATCAAGTTGTTGAAACATCTCAAGGATGATCAATGGAAACAGGATGCACCTGAGCTCAATTTTGAGTCTCATAGCAAAGGATCTGAATATTTCTGTTTTATATTTTTAATACATTTGCAAAAATGTCTAAAAACCTGTTTTCGCTTTGCAATTATGGGGTATTGTGTGTAAATTGATGAGGATATTTTTTTTTTCATCCATTTTCGAATAAGGCTGTAACGTGACAAAATGTGGAAAAAGTCAAGGGGTCTGAATACTTTCCGAATACACTCTCTCTCTCTCTCTGTCATAGAGCCGTCTGTCCTGCGGGGGGCGCTGTGTGGTCATACTGACTCGGTGTGGGGTCTGGTCTACAGTAGTGTTCATCAGAGACTCCTGTCTTGCTCTGGAGACGGCACCGTCAGGCTGTGGGACGCCTCCAATACCAAGCCGGCCCTGGCCACCTTCCACAATAAAGGTACACTCAGACAGACACATCAGCCGATATGGTTCAGTGACTTTAACTGAGTTGTTAGGAGGTGTGACGAGTTGGAGGATGAGTTGACAATTAAGGGGGTTTGGATTAGTTGCAGTATTGTCTGAGTACATTGATGTTTTAACCCATGTCATGTGTTTTTGTTTCGCTTCCTGCTTCAGAGTTTGGCGTGCCGTCCTCAGTGGACCTGGTCTGCAGTGACCCCGCCTACATGGTGACATCATTCACCAGCGGTCAGATTGGCCTGTTCAACATGGAGACACAGCAACTGGTGCTCAACCTGGAGTCCACTGCAGAGACGGGTAGGTCTGGAGGGAGGGAGGAGGGGTGGGAGGGAGGGAGGGATGGAGGGATGGGTGGGAGGGAGGGAGGGAGAGAGGAGGGGTGGGAGGGAGGGAGGGAGAGAGGAGGGGTGGGATGGGAGGGAGGGAGGGATGGTCAGATTGGCCTGTTCAACAAGGAATCAACCTCTCCTCTCCACAGGTACCCCCTGTCAGATCAACAGGGTGCTGAGCCACCCCACCCTCCCCATCACCATCACCGCTGAGGAGGACAGACACATCAAGTTCTTCGACAACAACACAGGTAACACGACAACACCACAGGTAACACGACAACAACACCACAGGTAACACGACAACAACACCACAGGTAACATGACAACAACACCACAGGTAACATGAAAACAACACAGGTAACACGACAACACCACAGGTAACACGACAACACCACAGGTAACACGACAACAACACCACAGGTAACACGACAACAACACAGGTAACACGACCATTTTGCTGGTCTACATACAAACGTTCTATTAGTTTTTCACTCCAACAGTGTCCTCCACACAGAACTAAATAGGATCTCAATGGTCCTCCATCAGTCCCAACTTAAATCTAAAAGTATTTAGAATATTGCAGTTTTTACCACATCCTGATCAAGTTTGGTTTATCACAGCAGTTTGTTTTTAAAATTAGAGTGAATACACATAAACTGATGCACTCACAGAAAGCAGAAACATTACATTAACAAATGTCAATTTGAACTCTTCAGGAAAGCTGATCCACTCGATGGTGGCCCACCTGGATGCAGTTACCAGTCTAGCTGTCGACCCCAACGGGCTCTATCTGATGTCTGGCAGTAAGTAGCTAACAACTCTAGATCAATGATTTCTAACATCCTTAGCTAGATAGATACCTTGTCATTCTGCATGCAATGGTAGGAGAGTCCATGTGAGGATATGACAGACCTTATAAAACAGGAGAGGGTCTAGAACTGAGCCCTGGGGGACACCGGAGCTGTATACTTTATAAAACAGGAGAGGGTCTAGAACTGAGCCCTGGGGGACACCGGAGCTGTATACTTTATAAAACAGGAGAGGGCCTGGAACTGAGCCCTGGGGGACACCGGAGCTGTATACTTTATAAAACAGGAGAGGGCCTAGAACTGAGCCCTGGGGGACACCGGAGCTGTATACTTTATAAAACAGGAGAGGGCCTGGAACTGAGCCCTGGGGGACACCGGAGCTGTATACTTTATAAAACAGGAGAGGGTCTAGAACTGAGCCCTGGGGGACACCGGAGCTGTATACTTTATAAAACAGGAGAGGGCCTGGAACTGAGCCCTGGGGGACACCGGAGCTGTATACTTTATAAAACAGGAGAGGGCCTGGAACTGAGCCCTGGGGGACACCAGAGCTGTATACTTTATAAAACAGGAGAGGGCCTGGAACTGAGCCCTGGGGGACACCAGAGCTGTATACTTTATAAAACAGGAGAGGGTCTAGAACTGAGCCCTGGGGGACACCGGAGCTGTATACTTTATAAAACAGGAGAGGGCCTGGAACTGAGCCCTGGGGGACACCAGAGCTGTATACTTTATAAAACAGGAGAGGGCCTGGAACTGAGCCCTGGGGGACACCAGAGCTGTATACTTTATAAAACAGGAGAGGGGTCTATAAACTGAGCCCTGGGGGACACCGGAGCTGTATACTTGTATAAAACAGGAGAGGGTCTAGAAACTGAGCCCCCTGGGGGGGGGACACCGGAGCGTTACTTTATAAACAGGAGAGGGCTGGAACTGAGCCCTGGGGGACAACAGAGCTGTATATTTATAAAACAGAGAGGGCTGGAAACTGAGCCCTGGGGGACACAGAGCGTATACTTTATAAAACAGGAGAGGGTCTAGAACTGAGCCCTGGGGAACCGAGTTATACCAGAGAGGCTGACTACCCTGGACACCAGCTGTATACTTTATAAAACAGGAGAGGGCCTGGAACTGAGCCTGGGGACACCAGACTGTATTTATAAACAGAGGGTCTGAACTGAGCCCTGGGGGACATGTATACTTTATAAAACAGGAGAGGGCCTGAACTGAGCCCTGGGGGACACCAGAGCTGTATACTTTATAAAACAGGAGAGGGTCTAGAACTGAGCCCTGGGGGACACCAGAGCTGTATACTTTATAAAACAGGAGAGGGCCTAGAACTGAGCCCTGGGGGACACCAGAGCTGTATACTTTATAAAACAGGAGAGGGCCTAGAACTGAGCCCTGGGGGACACCAGAGCTGTATACTTTATAAAACAGGAGAGGGCCTGGAACTGAGCCCTGGGGGACACCAGAGCTGTATACTTTATAAAACAGGAGAGGGCCTGGAACTGAGCCCTGGGGGACACCAGAGCTGTATACTTTATGTAAACTGCCTTGTCGCCCAACTACTGTTCACCTTCCTCTCCCCTCCCTAATCCCTGTCTCCTCTCCTCCCTCTCCGGTTGACTGCTCTATTCGTCTGCTCTCGTTCCCCTCCCTAATCCCCCTCTCCTCTCCTTCCTCAGGTCATGACTGTTCTATTCGTCTGTGGAACCTGGAGACTAAGACGTGTATCCAGGAGTTTACGGCTCACAGGAAGAAGAATGATGAGTCTATCCATGACGTGGCCTTCCACCCCTCTAAGGCTTACATCGCCTCCGCCGGGGCAGACGCTCTCGCCAAGGTGTTCGTATGACGAGGACCTATCACAGCCCACCGACACAGCCTCCCAGCACCAGGGATCAATAGACACACAGGAGGGGCGGGACCTTAAGAAATGGGCGTGTGGGGTTCCACGCAGACTTCCCCTTTCACGCTACTGGTTCCCTGTTTTGACTGGCGGATGATGCAGCCAATAGCCACTACCAAGACCCAGACTAGGCCCGCCTCCAGAGGGAGAGGGCCAGGGCTGTGGTTGGCTGGGAGGTCTGTTAGGAAAACAGCGATTGGGCACAAGGCTTCCTCCTCTTTGTACAGTCCAGGCAGGCCCCTGGGTGTGACCGGAAACAGAGCCCCTCCTCTTTCTCCAAGCTGCAGCCAATGAACACCCACACAGACTGACTACAGTCTACAGACCACAGACTGATACTATGGTCTTCAGACTAATCTTCCCTTCACAGCTAGCGAGGGGGTTGAAGACAGACGGACGGGTGTTTTAAAGTGTAGACTCACTGGGGAGGTGGAGCACCATGCCCTAAACCCCTAACCCTACCCTCTGCCCATTAACCAGAACCCCAGGCCCCCATTTCCCCAGTCTCTAGGTCCAGGCTTCTCCTCTCAGACCAGGGTGGACTGTCTGCTCCCTGGTCCCTCCTCTCCTTCTCCTCTCAGACCAGGGTGGACTGTCTGCTCCCTGGTCCCTCCTCTCCTTCTCCTCTCAGACCAGGGTGGACTGTCTGCTCCCTGGTCCTTCCTCTCCTTCTCCTCTCAGACCAGGGTGGACTGTCTGCTCCCTGGTCCCTCCTCTCCTTCTCCTCTCAGACCAGGGTGGACTGTCTGCTCCCTGGTCCCTCCTCTCCTTCTCCTCCAGGTCAGGTTCAGTGTTGTGTTGTGATGGAGATGTGGGGTACTTACTGAAGACTGGCTGCGGCTGACTGTCAGGGATGGAAGCATCTCGCTTTTCCCCTCTGCTTCCAAGGCTGACTCCGTCTCCCCTGTGTCTCCCCTGTCCCCCCTTGTCTCTCCCGTGTCTCCCTGTGTCTCTCCCCTGTGTCTCCCCCGTGTCTCCCAGTCTCCCCCGTGTCTCCCCAGTCTCCCCCGTGTCTCCCCCGTTGTCTCTCCCGTGTCTCCCTGTGTCTCTCCCCTGTGTCTCCCCAGTCTCTCCCCTGTCTCCCCAGTCTCTCCCGTGTCTCCCCATGTCTCTCCCGTGTCTCCCTGTGTCTCTCCCCTGTGTCTCCCCAGTCTCTCCCCTGTCTCCCCAGTCTCTCCCGTGTCTCCCCATGTCTCTCCCGTGTCTCCCTGTGTCTCTCCCCTGTGTCTCCCCAGTCTCTCCCCTGTCTCCCCAGTCTCTCCCGTGTCTCCCCATGTCTCTCCCGTGTCTCCCTGTGTCTCTCCCCTGTGTCTCCCCCGTCTCTCCCCTGTCTCCCCAGTCTCTCCCGTGTCCCCCCATGTCTCTCCCGTGTCTCCCTGTGTCTCTCCCCTGTGTCTCCCCCGTGTCTCCCCAGTCTCCCCTGTGTCTCCCCCGTGTTTCTCCCGTGTTTCTCCCCCGTGTCTCCCCCCAGTCTCCTCCGCCAGCCAGCAGCCTTTCTCGCTCTGCTTTCCTTTTTAAAAACACTTATTGAAAAATGTGCCTTTGCTTTCAAAAAAGGTCTTGAAACAAAAGTTATTTTACAGAGCATCTGTTTTTGCAGGGGTGGGGGAGACTGAGTGGATAGGGAAAGGTTGTCACGATGGTGTTCATTTTAACAAAACTTTGGATGTAAAATTACAAATACTTATAATAAACAAAATATATAAGTATGAAAATGTATGTCGCTCTGGAAAAGAGCGTCTCCTAAATGACTAAAATGTAAAAAAAATATATATATATATATTAAGTCTTAAAACTTACTGTGCTGAAGTGAGTTTGAGTGCTATTTTTTTTTTTAATAGCATGGGTGGATATTAGCCTGGTCCCAGATCTGTTTGTGCTGTCTTGCCATTGACCATATAGGAGTTGGAAAGACGGCACTAACAGATCTGGGACCAGGGTAGAGGGGAATCGGCCAAACTGACAGAGCTGAAACAGACCATCAAGTAAATATTTCCTGTTTTGTTAGAAGAATTCCTAGTTATAACTGTACACTGCAAAAAAAAGTTCAATTACAAATTCATGTTTCCAAAGTAAACCATCTGGTTCTACAATATGAGGTTTAGTATGTAGCAACAGACGTCCATCTTTACAATACAGGCCACTGAGCCGTACTGTATGTGTCTAACGTCTCAGAGTAGGTGCTCGTCCCAAATGGCTCCCTATTCCCTATATAGTGCACTACTTTAGACCAGAGAATGGCACCCTATTCCCTATATAGTGCACTACTTTAGACCAGAGAATGGCACCCTATTCCCTATATAGTGCATTACTTTTGATTAGGATCCGCAGGGCTCTGGGATGCAGACGCCGCTGTCCTCAAGCTGTAGTTACAGTACAATGTGTTATATTCACACAAATTTTTTTAAAAATAAATAATTTTCCCACAAATCCATCAAGATATCCATGTAACTTACAAGTTCAAATGAGCAATTTTCTCAGACAGTCAGTCGCTGGTTTGTATATGAATGTCTGTTCTCATTAAAACTGCTGTAAAATCTTTGTTTCTGTCCATGATTTTGAGAGAGAGAGAGAGAGAGAGAGAGAGAGAGAGAGAGAGAGAGAGAGAGAGAGAGAGAGATTTTTTACAACATAAACCTGGGAATTGAGAGAGCGGGAGGAGGAAGAGAAGAGGATTCTACAACAATGCGTTCGCTGTAGATAAAGGATTTTTCTTCCTGCAGTATTGTCTATTCTAGAGTTGCAAAATTCCAGTGACACTCCCCAAATTCCCAGGTGTTCTAGAAATCCTGGTTGGAGGATTCTTGGATGTTCTTTATTCCCTCGTGATTCTGGGAATCTTCCAACTGGGATTTCTTGAAAAACTTGGGAATTTTTTGGAAAATTACCAGAATGTTGCAGTCCTTTTCTCCACTCTTGAGTGGTGTGGGTTGTATGTAATGTTGTTTGGTATAGAACAGGAATGATGGTATAGAGATGTCTAGTCCATGTCAAAACTATGATACATTACTAATGTCTAATAATTATCTAATATAACTGCACACAAATGTGTACAGATTTTAGTTTTTGCATATGATTACTCTTACCTGTTAACAAATACCTATGTCTCTGAAGAACATCTCAACGCAAGTTTTTTTTTCAGTATGATTTTATTAAAAATAGCATTAAAATATTGGATCAGATATGTATTTGAAAATAACAAACGGCTTTTTTTAATATGCATATGTACAAACACAAACAGGATTAAAAATAAAAACTGGGAGGAGATGATATAAATACTCTGAACAAACCAATATCAGTCACGTGAACAAGAGGGGAGAATAGAGGGAGGAGAAGAGCTGGGTTGTGTTCATTAGTCACGAAACGGAAGAAAATGGACTGAAAACAGGGGAGGGACTACTTGAATCTGTCGAATAATAAGAAACTCATTTTCCCTTGCTTAAATGTTTTTGCTATGGTGTGCACTAATGAATATGCTCCTGGTTTTCATTTGTGAGGAACACAGTTTAGGTTAAAAAAAAAATTCAAGTTTGATCTATTTATAGGTTCACTATCAGAGCTGGCAGAAAACCACAACTCCCTCTTGAAGCGCTTCACTTTAATTTGACCATGTGTTAATTTGCCATATATAAAGAGAACTGTTCATTTTTTGGGGGGATTAATAGACAGCTGTTAGGAGCCAGCTAGAGTTACCAAGTAAGACATGTTATCTAATTGGAAATGCTAAAGATGTTACCTTCAGGTTTTAAACCTTGTTAGCTGCTAACATGTTAAGTCATAAGTATGGCCCCTTCAGTTTTTTGGGGGGGATTAAAAGTATTATATGGCTTACACATACACAGTCAGCATGCATCGAAAACATCCAAGCAGACTCTTGACTGTTTTTGGAGGAAAAACGTACACAACGTCCCTAAAATCAAATCTCTCCTCTATAAAAGACAACACAGTATATATATATATACACACATGGTCAAATTCTGACGAGAAGACCATAATATGGCTGAATTCCCAAAATGTGGTGCGACGACGCCGGTCCTCTCTCAGTCTTATTCATTTCCAATCTCCCCTATTGTAAAGCACCATATTGTGTTGCTGCAGTGTGTTGATAAGCCATAAGGGGAAGTGTTAAGCACCATGTCCCCCCATAAGGCTATGTTTCTCTGTAAGCACCATGTCCCCATAAGGCTATGTTTCTCTGTAAGCACCATGTCCCCATAAGGCTGTGTTTCTCTGTAAGCACCATGTCCCCCCATAAGGCTATGTTTCTCTGTAAGCACCATGTCCCCATAAGGCTATGTTTCTCTGTAAGCACCATGTCCCCATAAGGCTGTGTTTCTCTGTAAGCACCATGTCCCCATAAGGCTATGTTTCTCTGTAAGCACCATGTCCCCATAAGGTTATGTTTCTCTGTAAGCACCAGATTGTGTGGTGGTGTTAAGCCGGAAGACTAAGTGCTAGGGGTGCTTTTGTAGTCTATAGTTTTTTCTGTAAGCATCAGGGTTGGGCTCAATTCTAATTTAAGTCAGTCAATTCAGGAAGTGATTTTGAATTTAAACTTTAGAAAAAATGTAATCTTTTGAAATGTATTGTTTATCCTTTTCAGTTCATTGAGAAGTCATTGAAAATAAAAGCACTTTTTTCAATTATTGAATTGGAATTTGTTTACATTCTGAATTGACGGCCTTCGATTCGAATTGACTCCAACCCCTGGTACTTTTCCGTTTCGATCAATTATATTACATGATTAGGAGTGAAAACACAAAATACCCCCCGTTCCTGACTGTTAATATAACACGAACAACAGTTGGGATCGCATGGCCAAAGTTTAATCATTGTGATCCAATGACTTCAAATTATTTTGATTCATGTTCGTATATACCCACTGCCTTCCGCTTCAAACCAATAACCTCCCTTGGGAATTTAACTATTGCCAATTCAGCACCAACTTTTACAACAGTTCTGCACAATTTTTCATTTGGTAACTTACCGGTAATACGTTCTGTAAAGACCCTGTCCTGTCTCCGTGATAAATGTAGTGACAGTGACAGTCCTACCCTAATTAGCAACAGCTAATGGGGATCCTAATAAAATACCTAACCCCTCTCCCTACAGCCCCCTAACGCCCTGTTTGAATACTTTAGAAATGCTTCCTCGCTTCCTTGTTTCCTTGATATGTAAGCGCAGATTTATAAGTAACTGGAGTGGCCTATGGGCCCTATGGGCACTGGTCTAAAGTAGTGCACTACATAGGGAATAGGGTGCCATTCTCTGGTCTAAAGTAGTGCACTACATAGGGAATAGGGTGCCCTCAGTTGCGTGGCTGTGAGTTGAACTCCTGACAGATGTTGTTGACCACCTTGGGGACGAACTTGTAGAGGCTGTCAAACTCATCCACGAAGTAGGAGTGCTCCTTGTCGGGGTCGGTGGCGATGTACTCCAGCTCGTCCTGCGCTGCCCAGGCAATGCCGATGGAGTACGCTATCACACCTGGAGAGAGACCGGTAGTTAGAGAGAGACTGGAGTACGCTATCACACCTGGAGAGAGACCAGTAGTTCGAGACTGGAGTAGACTATCACAATTGGACAGACCAGGAGACCAGGAGTGGGCAAACCTTTTGGCTCGATGGCCACGTTGGGATTTCAGAATTCGACAGAGGGGCCATACAGATTATTTTTTGCAACCTATTTGTTTGTAAAGATTTTGCCAGCCAGGAAAAGGGCACTTATTAGAAAATATATTAGGTCCATTATCATTTCTACATACTTTCTATATCTAGTCTTGGATGTTAAACATTTCTACTAATTCCCTCGCGGGCCGTAGTTTTCCCACCGCTGGATTAGACTGATGGAGATTGAGTATTAGGCTATCACACCTGGACCACAGTAAAGATTAGATTAGATACTAGTCACATACACTACGTGACCAAAAGTATGTGGACACCTGCTCCTCGAACATCTCATTCCAAAATCATGGGCATTAATATGGAGTTGGTTCCCCCCCTTTGCTGCTATAACAGCCTCCACTCTTCTGGGAAGGCTTTCCACTAGATGTTGGAACATTGCTGCGGGGACTTGCTTCCATTCAGCCACAAGAGCATTAGTGAAGTCGGGCACTGATGTTGGGCGATGAGGCCTGGCTCACAGTCGGCGTTCCAATTCATCCCAAAGGTGTTCGATGGGGTTGAAGTCAGGGCTTTGTGCAGGCCAGTCAAGTTCTTCCACAATGATGTCGACAAACCATTTCTGTATGGACCTCACTTTGTGCATGGGGGCATTGTCATGCTGAAACAGGAAAGGGCCTTCCCCAAACTGTTGCCACAAAGTTGGAAGCACAGAATCATCTAGAATGGCATTGTATGCTGTAGCGTTAGGATTTTCCTTCACTGGAACTAAATGGCCTAGGCCGAACCATGAAAAACAGGTAGCGTTCTCCTGGCATCTGCCAAACCCAGATTCGTCCGTCGGACTGCTAGATGGTGAAGTGTGATTCATCACTCCAGAGTCCAATGGCGGCAAGCTTTACACCACTCCAGCTGACGCTTGGCATTGCGCATGGTGATCTTCGGCTTGTGTGCGGCTGCTCGGCCATTGAAACCCATTTCATGAAGCTTCCGACAAACGTTTATTGTGCTATTGCTTCCAGAGGCTGTTTGGAACACGGTAGTGAGTATTGCATTTGATTGATAGATTTTTACGTGCTTCAGCACTCAGCAGTCCCGTTCTGTGAGCTTGTGTGGCCTACCACTTTGCGGCTGAGCCGTTGTTGCTCCTAGACATTTCCACTTCACAATAACAGCACTTACAGTTGACCAGGGCAGCTCTAGCAGGGCAGAAAATTTGACGAAATGACTTATTGGAAAGGTGGCATCCTATGATGGTGCCACGTTGAAAGTCACTAAGCTCTTCAGTAAGGCCATTCTACTGCCAATGTTTGTCTATGGAGATTGCATGGCTGTGTGCTCGATTTTATACACCTGTCAGCAACGGGTGTGGCTGAAATAGCCGAATCCACTAATTTGAAGAGGTGTCCACATACTTTTGTTTATATAGTGTATCTGTGATCAATATCTGTATTCCCAGTCATGTAAAATCCATAGATTAGGGCCTAATTTATTTATTTAAATGTACTGATTTCCTTACATGAACTGTAACTCTTTCGAAGTGTTGCGTTTATATTTTTGTTCAGTGTAGCTTTCATTACATTTCCACTAACCAATTCTACTTGATTTCACACCAAGTTAGCTTTCATTACATTTCCACTGATCAATTCAACTTGGTTTCACACCAACTTTAGCTTTCATTACATTTCAACTTGGTTTCAAATAAAATTGTATTTGTCACATACGCTGAATAAAACAGGTGTAGACCTTACCGTGAAATGCTTACTTACAAGCCCTTAACCAACAATGCAGTTAAAGAAATAGAGTTAAGAAAAAATTTACTAAATAAACTAAAGTAAAAAATTAAATAAAAAGTAACACAATAAAATAACGAGGCTATATACAGTGGGGAAAAAAAGTATTTAGTCAGCCACCAATTGTGCAAGTTCTCCCACTTAAAAAGATGAGAGAGGCCTGTAATTTTCATCGTAGGTACACATCAACTATGACAGACAAATTGAGAAAAAAAATCCAGAAAATCACATTGTAGGATTTTTAATGAATTTATTTGCAAATTATGGTGGAAAATAAGTATTTGGTCACCTACAAACAAGCAAGATTTCTGGCTCTCACAGACCTGTAACTTCTTCTTTAAGAGGCTCCTCTGTCCTCCGTTACCTGTATTAATGGCACCTGTTTGAACTTGTTATCAGTATAAAAAGACACCTGTCCACAACCTCAAACAGTCACACTCCAAACTCCACTATGGCCAAGACCAAAGAGCTGTCAAAGGACACCAGAAACAAAATTGTAGACATGCACCAGGCTGGGAAGACTGAATATGCAATAGGTAAGCAGCTTGGTTTGAAGAAATCAACTGTGGGAGCAATTATTAGGAAATGGAAGACATACAAGACCACTGATAATCTCCCTCGATCTGGGGCTCCGCGCAAGATCTCACCCCGTGGGGTCAAAATGATCACAAGAACGGTGAGCAAAAATCCCAGAACCACACGGGGGGACCTAGTGAATGACCTGCAGAGAGCTGGGACCAAAGTAACAAAGCCTACCATCAGTAACACACTACGCCGCCAGGGACTCATATCCTGCAGTGCCAGACGTGTCCCCCTGCTTAAGCCAGTACATGTCCAGGCCCGTCTGAAGTTTGCTAGAGTGCATTTGGATGATCCAGAAGAGGATTGGGAGAATGTCATATGGTCAGATGAAACCAAAATAGAACTTTTTGGTAAAAACTCAACTCGTCGGGTTTGGAGGACAAAGAATGCTGAGTTGCATCCAAAGAACACCATACCTACTGTGAAGCATGGGGGTGGAAACATCATGCTTTGGGGCTGTTTTTCTGCAAAGGGACCAGGACGACTGATCCGTGTAAAGGAAAGAATGAATGGGGCCATGTATCGTGAGATTTTGAGTGAAAACCTCCTTCCATCAGCAAGGACATTGAAGATGAAACGTGGCTGGGTCTTTCAGCATGACAATGATCCCAAACACACCGCCCGGGCAACGAAGGAGTGGCTTCGTAAGAAGCATTTCAAGGTCCTGGAGTGGCCTAGCCAGTCTCCAGATCTCAACCCCATATAAAATCTTTGGAGGGAGTTGAAAGTCTGTGTTGCCCAGCGACAGCCCCAAAACATCACTGCTCTAGAGGAGATCTGCATGGAGGAATGGGCCAAAATACCAGCAACAGTGTGTGAAAACCTTGTGAAGACTTACAGAAAACGTTTGACCTGTGTCATTGCCAACGAAGGGTATATAACAAAGTATTGAGAAACTTTTGTTATTGACCAAATACTTATTTTCCACCATAATTTGCAAATAAAATCATAAAAAATCCTACAATGTGATTTTCTGGAAAAAACATTCTCTATTTGTCTGTCATAGTTGACGTGTACCTATGATGAAAATTACAGGCCTCTCTCATCTTTTTAAGTGGGAGAACTTACACAATTGGTGGCTGACTAAGTACTTTTTTCCCCCACTGCACAGGGGGTACCGAGTCAATGTGCGGGGGTACAGGTTAGTCAAGGTAATTTGTACATGTAGGTAGGGGTAAAGTGACTATACATAGATAATAAACAGAGAGTACCAGCAGTGTAAAAACAAAGGGGGGGGGGGGGGTCAATGTAAATAGTCCAGGTGGCCCTTTGACTAATTGTTCAACAGTTTTATGGCTTGAGGGTAGAAGCTGTTAAGGAGCCTTTTGGACCTAGACTTGGCGCTCCGGTACCGCTTGCCGTGCGGTAGCAGAGAGAACAGTCTATGACTTGGGTGACTGGAGTCTTTGACAATGTTTTTGGCCTTCCTCTGACACCGCCTAGTATATACAGTTGAAGTCGGAAGTTTACATACACTTAGGTTGGAGTCATTAAAACTTGTTTTTCAACCACTCCACAGATGTCTTGTTAACAAACTATAGTTTTGGCAAGTCGGTTAGGACATCTACTTTATGCATGACACAAGTAATTTTTCCAACAATTGTTTACAGACAGATTATTTCACTTATAATTCACTGTATCACAATTCCAGTGGGTCAGAAGTTTACATACACTAAGTTGACTGTGCCTTTAAACAGCTTGGAAAATTCCAGAAAATGATGTCATGGCTTTATAAGCTTCTGATAGGCTAATTGACATAATTTGAGTCAATTGGAGGTGTACCTGTGGATGTATTTCAAGGCCTACCTTCAAACTCAGTGCCTCTTTGCTTGACATCATGGGAAAATCAAAAGAAATCAGCGAAGACTGCAGAAAACAAATTGTAGACCTCCAGAAATCTGGTTCATCCTTGGGAGCAATTTCCAAACGCCTGAAGGTACCACGTTCATCTGTACAAACAATAGTACGCAAGTATAAACACCATAGGACCACGCAGCCGTCATACCGCTCAGGAAGGAGACGCGTTCTGTCTCCTAGAGATGAACGTACTTTGGTGCGAAAAGTGCAAATCAATCGCAGAACAACAGCAAAGGACCTTGTGAAGATGCTGGAGGAAACAGGTACAAAAGTATCTATATCCACAGTAAAACGAGTCCTATATCGACATAACCTGAATGGGTGCTCAGCAAGGAAGAAGCCACTGCTCCAAAACCGCCATAAAAAAGCCAGACTACGGTTTGCAACTGCACATGGGGACAAAGATCGTACTTTTTGGAGAAATGTCCTCTGGTCTGATGAAACAAAAATAGACCTGTTTGGCCATAATGACCATCATTATGTTTGGAGGAAAAAGGGGGTTGCTTGCAAGCCGTAAAACACCATCCCAACCATGAAGCACGGGGGTGGCAGCATCATGCTGTGGGGGTGCTTTGCTGCAGGAGGGACTGGTGCACTTCACAAAATAGATGGCATCATTAGGAAGGAAAAGTATGTGGATATATTGAAGCAACATCTCAAGACATCAGTCAGGAAGTTAAAGCTTGGTCACAAATGGGTCTTCCAAATGGACAATGACCCCAAGCATACTTCCAAAGTTGTGGCAAAATGGCTTAAGGACAACAAAGTCAAGGTATTGGAGTGGCCATCACAAAGCCCTGACCTCAATCCTATAGAAAATATGTGGGCAGAACTGAAAAAGTGTGTGCGAGCAAGGAGTCTTACAAACCTGACTCAGTTCAACCAGTTCTGTCAGGAGGAATGGGCCAAAATTCACCCAACTTATTGTGGTAGGCTTGTGGAAGGCTACCCGAAACGTTTGACCCAAGTTAAACTATTTAAAGGCAATGCTACCAAATACTAATTGAGTGTATGTAAACTTCTGACCCACTGGAAATGTGATGAAATAAATAAAAGCTGAAATAAATCATTCTCTCTACTATTATTCTGACATTTCACATTCTTAAAATAAAGTGGTGATCCTAACTGACCTAAGACAGGGAAGTTTTACTAGGATTAAATGTCAGGAATTGTGAAAAACTGAGTTTAAATGTATTTGGCTGAGGTGTATGTAAACTTCCGACTTCAACTGTAGGTCCTGGATGGCAGGAAGCTTGTTCCCAGTGATGTACTGGGCCCTACGCATTACCCTCTGTAGCGCTTTGCGGTCGGATGCCGAGCAGTTGCCATACCAGGCGGTGATGCAACCGGTCAGGATGCTCTCGATGGTGCAGCTGTATAACTTTTTGAGGTTCTGGGGACCCATGCTAAATCTTTTCAATCCCTGAGGGGGAATAGGCTTTGTCGTGCCCTCTTCACGACTGTCTTGGTGTGTTTGGACCATGATAGTTCGTTGGTGATGTGGACACCAAGGAACTTGTTAATGTTAACCTCCTCCCTATAGGCTGTCTCATCATTGTCGATGATCAGGCCTACCACCGTTGTGTCGTCAGCAAACTTAGTGATGGTTTTGGAGTTGTACTTGGCCACGCAGTCGTGGGTGAACAGGGAGTACAGGAGGGGACTGAGCACGCACCCCTGAGGGGCCCCCGTGTTGAGGATCAGCGTGGCAGATGTGTTGTTGCCTACCCTTACCACCTGGGGGCGGCCCGTCAGGAAGTCCAGGATCCAGTTGCAGAGGGAGGTGTTTAGTCCCAGGGTCCTTAGCTTAGTGATGAGCTTTGTGGGCACTATGGTGTTGAACGCTGAGCTGTAGTCAATGAACAGCATTCTCCCATAGGTGGTCCTTTTGTCCAGGTGGGAAAGGGCAGTGTGGAGTGCGACTGAGATTGCGTGTTCTGTGGATCTGTTGGGGCGGTATGTGAATTGGAGTGGGTCTAGGGTTTCCGGGATGATGGTGTTGATGTGATTCATGACCAGCCATTCAAAGCACTTCATGGCTACCAATGTTCACTGACGTGAGTGCTACGGGGCGGTATTCATTTAGGCAGGTTACCTTCACTTTCTTGGGCACAGGGACTATGGTGGTCTGCTTGAAACATGTAGGTATTACAGACTCGTTCAGGGAGAGGTTGAAAATGTCAGTGAAGACACTTGCCAGTTGGTCCGCGCATGCTCTGAGTACACGTCCTGGTAATCCGTCTGGTCTTGCGACCTGTTTAAAGGTCTTGCTCACATCGGCTACGGAGAGCGTGATCACACAGTCGTCCGGAACTGCTGGTGCTCTCATGCATGCTTCTGTGTTGCTTGCCTCAAAGCGAGCATAAAAGGTATTTAGCTCGTCTGGTAGGCTTGCGTCACTGGGCAGCTCGCATCTGGGTTTCCCTTTGTAGTCCGTAATAGTTTGCAAGCCCTGCCACATCCGATAAGCATCAGAGCTGGTGTAGTAGGATTAAATCTTAGTCCTGTATAGACGCTTTGCCTGTTTGATGGTTCGTCTGAGGGCAAAGCGGGATTTCTTATAAGCGTCCAGATTAGTGTCCCGCTCCTTGAAAGCGGCAGATCTAGCCTTTAGCTCGGTGTGGATGTTGCCTGTAATCCATGGCTTCTGGTTGGGATATGTACGTACGGTCACTGTGGGGACGAAGTCGCCGATTTACTTATTTATGAATCCGGTGACTGAGGTGGTGTACTCCTCAATGTCATTGGATGAACCCCCCAGAACATATTCTAGTCTGTGCTAGCAAAACAGTCCTGTAGCTTAGCATCTGCGTCATCTGACCACTTCCATATTGAGCGAGTCACTGGTACTTCCTGCTTTAGTTTTTGCTTGTAAACAGGAATTAGGAGGAAATAAATATGGTCAGATTTGCCAAATTGAGGGAGAGCATGCGTCTTTGTGGAGTAAAGGTGGTCTAGAGTTTTTTTTTTTTCTGGTTGCACATGCTGGTAGAAATTAGGGAAACGGATTTAAGTTTGCCTGCATTAAAATCCCCGGCCACTAGGAGCGCCGCATTTTCTTGTTTGCTTATGGCCTTCTACAGCTCGTTTAGTGCGGTCTTAGTGCCAGCATCGGTTTGTGGTGGTAAATAGACAGCTACGAAAAATATAGATGAGAACTCTCTTGGTAAATAGTGTGGTCTACAGCTTATCATGAGGTACTCTACCTCAGGCGAGCAGAACCTAGAGACTTCCTTAATATTAGACATCGCGCACCAGCTGTTATTGACAAATAGACACACACCCCCACCCCACCCCCACCCCTTGTCTTACCAGACCTAGCTGTTCTGTTCTGCCGAACTGTCTGTCACACCAACTTAGCTTCCAAATGAAGAACTAATAAAAGAGCAATCCAAAATGATCCACCAGTACGATGCTAAATTACCAGGCCTTCATATAGTGGTGCTTTATTTATTTAAAGAGGAGCGTTTTCCCCCATTGGCCAGATGTTCTGACCACACCAATCAACCTCTAACTTCTGACCCCTCACCTTGGCGGTGGACGGCCAGTGCCGGAGCTCTGACATCATCGTAGCTCCTCCCGTCGGTGATAACGATCATGATCTTGCGTTTGTTGGGTTTGGACTTGCTGAACAGCTGCTCAGCTGCGTATGTGATAGCCGCTCCAGTACTGGTCCCGCCGCTCCAGTAATTAATCCTTTTTATGGCGTTGAGCAGATCAGCTTTGTTGTTGTGTTGCCCGAAGGCGAACTCCAGCCGTTGTTCGTACGTATACTGCACCGCGCCGACCCGCGTGTCCGTGTCCGATATCTCAAACTCCCGCGTGATGTTAGCGACGAACTGCAGGACGGTCCGGAAGTTCCCGGTGCCCACAGAGCTGGATCCGTCGATGACGAAGGCGATGTCGTTAGCGTTAAGGCAGGTCTTGCTGCAGACGAGACGGTCGGTGTCGCATACACGCTTGACGAGGGGTTGGACTGCCTTCCGCAGGGCGAACCAGCTTGACACGGGCAGAGAGAAGAAACCGTTGGTCCGACACACCGCCTGTTGAGAGATGGGAAATGACAAGAGGTGGTTAGGTAGGGATTCATGAAAGGACAGGGCAAAACAAGTCAGCGAATTGGAAGTGGCTGTATGTGTTAACATAGCTAGGGGTGACCCAGCGACCATCATCTCTATATACCTTATCCACAAAGTTCGGCTCCACCACATTCTGCTTCTCGTTGTCATCGGGTCCCTCGATGGTCACAAAGAAGATGTTGATACCAGACTCTCTGGCCTGGCGTGATGCCTCCTCTACCTTGTCAGTGGGCCAGCCGTCTACCAGAACCACAGCAACGTTGGGCGCTCCGCCCCGGTTACCGTTGGCGTCGCTGAAGTAATGTTTGTTGATATAGGAGAGGGCCTTTCCTATGAGAACACCAGGGGGCAGCAGAGTGCTTAACAGACAGACAGCTGAAGTAATGTTTGTTGATATAGGAGAGGGCCTTCCCTAGGAAAACACCAGGGGGCAGCAGAGAAGTAGACAGACAGACAGACAGACAGACAGACAGACAGACAGAGCTGAAGTTCACTACATGACCAAAAGTATGTGGACACCTGCTTGTCGAACATCTCATTCCAAAATCATGGGCATTAATATGGAGTTGGTCCCCCCTTTGCTGCTATAACAGCCTCCACTCTTCTGGGAAGGCTTTCCACTAGATGTTGGAACATTGCTGCGGGGACTTGCTTCCATTCAGCCACAAGAGCATTAGTGAGGTCAGACACTGATGTTGGGCGATTAGGACTGGCTCGCAGTCTGCGTTCCAATTCATCCCAAAGGTGTTCAATGAGGTTGAGGTCAGGGCTCTGTGCAGGCCAGTCAAGTTCTTCCACACCGATCTCAACAAACCATTTCTGTATGGACCTCGCTTTGTGCATGGGGGCATTGTCATGCTCAAACAGGAAAGGGCCTTCCCCAAATTGATGCCACAAAGTAGAAGAACAGAATTGTTTAGAATGTCATTGTATGATGTAGCGTTAAGATTTCCCTTCACTGGAACTAAGGGGCCTAGCCCGAACCATGAAAAACAGCCCCAGACCATTATTCCTCTTCCACCAAACTTTACAGTTGGCACTATGCATTGGGGCAGGTAGTGTTCTCCTGGCATCCACGAAACCCAGATTAGTCCGTTGGACTGCCAGATGGTAAAGCGTGATTCATCACTCCAGAGAACGCATTTCCACTACTCCAGAGTCCAATGGCAGTGAGCTTTACACCACTCCAGCCGACATTTGGCATTGCGCATGGTGATCTTAGGCTTGTATGCGGCTGCTCGGCCATGGAAACCCATTTCATGAAGCTCCCGACGAAAAGTGAATGTGCTGACGTTGCTTCCAGAGGCAGTTTGGAACTCGGTAGTGAGCGTTGCAACCGAGGACAGACGATTTTTATGCACTATGCGCTTCAGCACTCGGCGTTCCCGTTCTGTGAGCTTGTGTGGCCGACCACTTCGGGGCTGAGCCGTTGTTGCTCCTAGACATTTCCACTTCACAATAACAGCACTTACAGTTGACCCGGGCAGCTCTAGCAGGGCAGAAATGTGACGAACTGACTTGTTGGAAAGGTGGCATCCTATGACGGTGCCACGTTGAAAGTCACTGAGCTCTTCAGTAAGGCCATTCTACTGCCAATGTTTGTCTATGGAGATTGCATGGCTGTGTACTCGATTTTATAGACCTGTCAGCAACGGGTGTGGCTGAAATAGCCGAATCCACTAATTTGAAGGGGTGTCCACATACTTTTGGGAAATTGTAAACAGTACTGTAGTTTGTTGATATAGGAGATGACCTTCCCTAGGAGTACACCAGGGGGCAGCAGAGAAGTTAACACAGACAGACACAGACAGCTGAGGTAGTTTAATACAGGAGAGGGCCTTCCCTAGGAGTACACCAGGGGGCAGCAGAGAGGTGGTTAAAACAGAGAGAGATCCAAACACACAACGTTTCTGTAAACACATGCACGCAACGGAGCCCGTTAAAATGGGAGGTTTTGTTCTAAACTGCCTTCCAGTAAGTGTTCTAATCTAAGAAGTCCACCTCCATTTCCTGTAGCCTAATTATTTATTCAACCCTTATTTAAGCAGGTAAATTGACTGAGAACACGTGTCATCTGGCTCTCATGGTTGACTTGATTAACTGTTATTTAAGCAGGTAAATTGACTGAGAACACGTGTCATCTGGCTCTCATGGTTGACTTGATTAACTGTTATTTAAGCAGGTAAATTGACTGAGAACACGTGTCATCTGGCTCTCATGGTTGACTTGTTACTGTTATTTAAGCAGGTTTAAATTGACTGAGAACACGTGTCATCTGGCTCTATGGTTCATAAGGTTATTTAAGCGTAATTGACGGAACACGTGTCATCGGCTCTCATGTGCCTGGTATTAAGCAATTGACTGAGAAACACTGCGTCATCTTGCTCCATCATTGGTTGAACTTGATTAACTGTTATTTAAGCGGGTAAATTGACTGAGAACACGTGTCATCTGGCTCTCATGGTTGATTGATTAACTTATTAAGCAGTTACTGAGAACACCGCTCTCATGGTTACTTGATTAACGTATAACAGGTAAATTGATGACCGAAACACCGTCAATCTGGCTCTCATGGTTGACTTGATTAACACAGTTATTTCATCGCTCCATGCAGGGTAAATTGACTGAGAACACGTGTCATCTGGCTCTCAGGTTACTTGATTAACGTTATTTAAGCGGTAATGACTGAGAACACGCGTCATCATCTTGGCGCTCAGTGTTTGGTGGTTGATTAACTGTTATTTAGCAGGAAATTGTGAGACAGTATCGGCTCTCATGGTTGGTGGTCTGTGTACTCCCTTGGTCAGGGTTCACTTGTAAAAGACGTCAATCTCATTGTGACGTCCCTGGTTAAATAAAGGATAAATAAATACAAAATAACAGAAACATCTGTGAGTGAAGACATGTTGTTGATGAGAATGGAGACAAGAGGCAGAGACTAACTGGCACATTGATTAGAGGGGAGGTTCTATTCTGTAAACACACAAAACCCTATTTGTATCCAACTGCAATGTTTAGCAGAGTCACAAAGACCACATGTGGCATCAGATTAAAGCGAACCATCACTTCCTGACAGTAGCCTGATCCCTGGCCAATCAGGGCTGGTAGAACCAGATGCCTTTGGTCAGGAGGCTAGGAGTAAAACACTGTCATTTAACTCAGTGTCTAGGGTCAGATTTAGATTTAATTATAGCCTCTCAGACTCTCAGCATGTGAAAATATGGTAAAGATTTTTGTGAAACAAGCGATAATTGTGCCCCTTTTCACTTTCGCACTTAAGTGTGTGGTCATGGTGCCATGGTGACATGGTGCCATCTGGCCTTGCTGTGCTCTTAGGGTTCTTCGGCTGTCCCCCCATAGGAGAACCGGTTTTGGTTCCAGGTAGAACCCTTTTTGGTTCCAGGTAGAACCCTTTTTGGTTCCAGGTAGAACCCTTTTTGGTTTCAAGTAGAACCCTTTTGGGTTCCATGTAGAACCCCTCTAAGGGTTCTTCAAAGGGTTCTCCTATGGGTCCTCTGTAGCTCAGCTGGTAGAGCACGGCGCTTGTGACGCCAGGGTAGTGGGTTCGATCCCCGGGACCACCCATACACAAAAATGTATGCACACATGACTGTAAGTCGCTTTGGATAAAAGCGTCTGCTAAATGGCATATTATTATTATTATTATTAAGAACCCTTTTAGGTTCTAGATAGCGCCTTTCTTTCTAAGAAAGAGGAACTCAGTCCGGCTTTCAACTTAATCTTGAAAGTTGTAATAGTAGAATGCACAAGGTGCAATTTCTAAATTGGGTAGTACATCATTAGTTCCTCTTGTCATGTTAGTCATTGCAGACCTTAGAGAGCTATTTATAACTTTATAAATGTATAACTATTTTCTAGATGTTTTATGATATTCGGACAATACAGGTTTTTATTTATTTCATTCATTCATTTATTCACCGACTCACCCACGTTGGACATCCCTCCCTTCTGTGTGATCTTGTCTACGGCAGGTTTCAGCTCTCTGGAGTTAGTATAGGCCTTCAGACTGAACTCTGTTACCGGATCATCTCTGTAGAGATAACAACAATATCAACAGCATGCATTTGAGAAAGAAAGAAGAGAAAGAAAGAAGAGAAAGAGAACAGGAGAAAGGAAGAATACCCACTGGGCACACTGGTTGAATCAACGTTGTTTCCACATTGAACCAACGTGGATTAGACATTGAATTGATACCTATAGTATTCTATACTAATACAATTGCTCTGAGAAATAGATTTTGTTTAACAAGTAATATTTTTTATTTCTCAAAATGTTAGGGGTCAAAATGATTGACATCCCTGTTTTCAAAACCTTTCAATACCTCAGTTTGCGAGGATAACGGCACTGAGCCTTTTTCTAAACTGTTTTATGAGATTGGAGAACACGTTAGGAGGGATCTTAGACCTTTCCATCAATACAGAATCCTTCCAGATCCTTGATATCCTTCGTCTGCTCTTATGAACCGCCCTCTTCAGTTCAAACCACAGGTTTTCAGTGGGGTTACTTACCCATATTGGATGATATATATTTAGGGGTTACTTATCCACATTGGATGATATATACATATATATATATATACACTGCTCAAAAAAATAAAGGGAACACTTAAACAACACAATGTAACTCCAAGTCAATCACACTTCCGTGAAATCAAACTGTCCACTTAGGAAGCAATACTGATTGACAATACATTTCACATGCTGTTGTGCAAATGGAATAGACAACAGGTGGAAATTATAGGCAATTAGCAAGAAACCCCCCAATAAAGAAGTGGTTCTGCAGGTGGTGACCACAGACCACTGCTCAGTTCCTATGCTTCCTGGCTGATGTTTTGGTCACTTTTGAATGCTGGCGGTGCTTTCACTCTAGTGGTAGCATGAGACGGAGTCGACAACCCACACAAGTGGCTCAGGTAGTGCAGCTCATCCAGGATGGCACATCAATGCGAGCTGTGGCAAGAAGGTTTGCTGTGTCTGTCAGCGTAGTGTCCAGAGCATGGAGGCGCTACCAGGAGACAGGCCAGTACATCAGGAGACGTGGAGGAGGCCGTAGGAGGGCAACAACCCAGCAGCAGGACTGCTACCTCCGCCTTTGTGCAAGGAGGAGCAGGAGGAGCACTGCAAGAGCCCTGCAAAATGACCTCCAGCAGGCCACAAATGTGCATGTGTCTGCTCAAACGGTCAGAAACAGACTCCATGAGGGTGGTATGAGGGCCCGACATTGAAAGGTGGGGGTTGTGCTCACAGCCCAACACCGTGCAGGACGTTTGGCATTTGCCAGAGAACACCAAGATTGGCAATTCGCCACTGGCGCCCTGTGCTCTTCACAGATGAAAGCAGGTTCACACTGAGCACGTGACAGACGTGACAGAGTCTGGAGACGATGTGCTCGCCAGAGGTAGCCTGACTGCCATTAGGTACCAATATGAGATCCTCAGACCCCTTGTGAGACCATATGCTGGTGCGGTTGGCCCTGGGTTCCTCCTAATGCAAGCCTCATGTGGCTGGAGTGTGTCAGCAGTTCCTGCAAAAGGAAGGCATTGATGCTATGGACTGGCCCGCCCGTTCCCCAGACCTGAATCCAATTGAGCACATCTGGGACATCATGTCTCGCTCCATCCACCAACGCCACGTTGCACCACAGACTGTCCAGGAGTTGGCGGATGCTTTAGTCCAGGTCTGGGAGGAGATCCCTCAGGAGACCATCCGCCACCTCATCAGGAGCATTCCCAGGCGTTGTAGGGAGGTCATACAGGCACGTGGAGGCCACACACACTACTGAGCCTCATTTTGACTTGTTTTAAGGACATTACATCAAAGTTGGATCAGCCTGTAGTGTGGTTTTCCACTTTAATTTTGAGGGTGACTCCAAATCCAGACCTCCATGGGTTGATAAATTAGATTTCCATTGATAATCCATCCAAATAATTTCTGTGTGATTTTGTTGTCAGCACATTCAACTATGTAAAGAAAAAAGTATTTAATAAGATTATTTCATTCATTCAGATCTAGGATGTGTTATTTTAGTGTTCCCTTTATTTTTTTGAGCAGTGTATATTACCAGTCAAAAGTTTGGACACCTACTCATTCAGGGGTGTTCACATTTTAGTCATTTAGCAGACGCTCTTATCCAGAGCGACTTACATTTTTTCTTTTTTCTTTATTTTTTACTATTTTCTACATTGTAGAATAATAGTGAAGACATCAAAACTATGAAATTACACATATGGAATCATGTAGTAACCAAAAAAGTGTTAAACAAATCAAAATATATTTTATATTTGAGATTCTTCGAAGTAGCCACCCTTTGCCTTGATGACAGCTTTGCACACTCTTGGAATTCTCTGAACCAGCTTCATGAGGTAGTCACCTGGAATGCATTTCAATCAACAGGTGTGCCTTCTTAAAAGTTAATTTGTGGAATGTATTTCCTTCTTAATGCATTTGAGCCAATGACAAGGTAGGGGTGGTATACAGAAGATAGCCCTATTTGGTAAAAGACCAAGTCCATATTATGGCAAGAACAGCTCAAATAAGCAAAGAGAAAGACAGTCCATCATTACTTTAAGACATGAATGTCAGTCAATACGGAACATTTCAAGAACTTTGAAAGTTTCTTAAAGTGCAGTCGCAAAAACCATCAAGCGCTATGATGAAACTGGCTCTCATGAGGACCGCCACAGGAAAGGAAGACCCAGAGTTACCTCTGCTGCAGAGGATAAGTTCATTACAGTTAACTGCACCTCAGAAATCCTTCACATAGTTCAAGTAACAGACACATCTCAACATCAACTATTCAGAGGAGACTGCGTGAATCAGAACTTCATGGTCGAATTGCTCAAAGAAACCACTACTAAAGGACACCAATAAGAAGAAGAGACCTGCTTGGGCCAAGAAACAAGAGCAATGGACATTAGACCAGTGGAAATGTGTCCTTTGGTCTGGAGTCCAAATTGGAGATTTTTGGTTCCAACCGCTGTGTCTTTGTGAGACGGTGTTCCTCAAGGTTCCGTTTTAGGACCACTATTGTTTTCACTATATATTTTACCTCTTGGGGATGTTATTCGAAAACATAATGTTAACTTTCACTGCTATGCGGATGACACACAGCTGTACATTTCAATGAAACATGGTGAAGCCCCAAAATTGCCCTCGCTAGAAGCCTGTGTTTCAGACATAAGGAAGTGGATGGCTGAAAACTTTTTACTTTTAAACTCGGACAAAACAGAGATGCTTGTTCTAGGTCCCAAGAAACAAAGAGATCTTCTGTTAAATCTGACAATTCATCTTGATGGTTGTAAAGTCGTCTCAAATAAAACTGTGAAGGACCTCGGCGTTACTCTTGACCCTGATCTCTCTTTTGACGAACATATCAAGACTGTTTCAAGGACAGCTTTTTTCCATCTACGTAACATTGCAAAAATCAGAAATTTTCTGTCCAAAAATGATGCAGAAAAATTAATCCATGCATTTGTTACTTCTAGGTTAGACTACTGCAATGCTCTATTTTCCGGCTACCCGGATAAAGCACTAAATAAACTTCAGTTAGTGCTAAATACGGCTGCTAGAATCCTGACTAGAACCAAGAAATTTGATCATATTACTCCAGTGCTAGCTTCCCTACACTGGCTTCCTGTTAAGGCAAGGGCTGATTTCAAGGTTTTACTGTTAACCTATAAAGCGTTACATGGGCTTGCTCCTACCTATCTTTCCGAGTTGGTCCTGCCGTACATACCAATACGTACGCTACGGTCACAAGACGCAGGCCTCCTAATTGTCCCTAGAATTTCTAAGCAAACAGCGGGAGGCAGGGCTTTCTCCTATAGATCTCCATTTTTATGGAACAGTCTGCCTACCCATGTGAGAGACGCAGACTCGGTCTCAACCTTTAAGTCTTTACTGAAGACTTATCTCTTCAGTAGGTCATATGATTGAGTGTAGTCTGGCCCAGGAGTGTGAAGGTGAACGGAAAGGCTCTGGAGCAACGAACAGCCCTTGCTGTCTCTGCCAGGCCGGTTCCCCTCTCCACTGGGGTTCTCTGCCTCTAACCCTGTTGCAGGGGCTGAGTCACTGGCTTGCTGGTGCTCTTTCATGCCGTCCCTGGGAGGGGTGCGTCACTTGAGTGGGTTGAGTTACTGACGTGATCTTCCTGTCTGGGTTGGCGCCCCCCCCCTTGGTTTGTGCTGTGGTGGAGACCTCTGTGGGCTATACTCGGCCTTGTCTCAGGATTGTAAGTTGGTGGTTGAGGATATCCCTCTAGTGGTGCGGGGGCTGTGCTTTGGCAGAGTGGGTGGGGTTATATCCTTCCTGTTTGGCCCTGTCCGGGGGTTTCTTCGGATGGGGCCACAGTGTCTCCGGACCGCTCCTGTCTCAGCCTCCAGTATTTATGCTGCAGTAGTTTATGTGTCGGGGGGCTGGGGTTAGTTGGTTATACCTGGAGTACTTCTCCTGTCTTATCCAGTGTCCTGTGTGAATTTAAGTATGCTCTCTCTAATTCTCTCGTTCTCTCTTTCTCTCTGAGAACCTGAGCCCTAGGACCATACGTCAGGACTACCGGGCATGATGACACCTTGCTGTCCCCAGTCCGCCTGGCCTTGCTGCTATTCCAGTTTCAACTGTTCTGCCTGCGGTTACGAAACCCCTACCTGTCCCAGACCTGCTGTTTTCAACTCTTAATGATCGGCTATGAAAAGCCAACTGAGAGACCTGAGCCCTAGGACCATACGTCGGGACTACCGGCCGTGGTGACTCCTTGCTGTCCCCAGTCCGCCTGGCCTTGCTGCTATTCCAGTTTCAACTGTTCTGCCTGCGGTTATGGAACCCCTACCTGTCCCAGACCTGCTGTTTTCAACTCTTAATGATCGGCTATGAAAAGCCCACTGAGATTTATTCCTGATTATTATTTGACCATGCTTGTCACTTATGAACATTTTTGAACATCTTGGCATGGTTCTGTTATAATCTCCACCCAGCACAGCCAGAAGAGGACTGGCCACCCCTCATAGCCTGGTTCCTCTCTAGGTTTCTTCCTAGGTTTTCGCCTTTCTAGGGAGTTTTTCCTAGCCACCGTGCTTCTACACCTGCATTACTAGCTGTTTGGGGTTTTAGGCTGGGTTTCTGTACAGCACTTCGAGATATTAGCTGATGTAAGAAGGGCTATATAAAATAAAATTGATTGATTGATTGAGTAGGTGAACGGATGATCTCTGCATGTGTGGTTCCCACCGTGCAGCATGGAGGAGGAGGAATGATGGTGTGGGGGTGTTTTGCTGGTGACACTGTCTGTGATTTATTTAGAATTGAAGGCACACTTAACTAGCATGGATACTACAGCATTCCGCAGCGATACTCCTTCCCACAAATTAACTTTAAGAAGGCACACATGTTAATTGAAATGCATTCCAGGTGACTACCTCATGAAGCTGGTTGAGAGAATGCCAAACGTGTGCAAAGCTGTCATCAAGGCAAAGGGTGGCTATTCGAAGAATCTCAAATATAAAATATATTTTGATTTGTTTAACACTTTTATGGTTACTACGTGATTCCATATGTGTTATTTCATAGTTTTGATGTCTTTACTATTATTCTACAATGTAGAAAATAGTAAAAATAAAGAAAAACCCTTGAATGAGTAGGTGTGTCCAAACTTTTGACTGGTAGTGTATATATTTAGGGGTTACTTACCCGTATTGGATGACGCCCATCATAGGTCCGGCCACGCCCACATTGATGACCTGTGCCACCTCAGCCAGGAAGTCTTTCTGGATCTTAAAGCGACGCTTCCCAATACTCCAGCTACCGTCCATCAGCCATGCTATGTCAACTTTACAGTCTGCCAATCAATCAATAAATCAATCAATGTGATATCCCAATACTCCAGCTACCGTCCATTAACCACGCTATGTCAACTGTAAAGTCTGCCAATCAATCAATCAATTAATCAGTCAATATAATATCCCAATACTTCAACTACCGTCCATTAACCAAGCTATGTCTACCTTTCAATCAATCAATCAATGTTATATCATAGGTGTTATACCATATAACACATTAAAAAAACAACTATCCAGCCTGGTCCCAGATCTGTATTTGCAGTCTTGCCAACTCCTATGGTGAACGACCGTGTGTGTGCATGTGTGTGGGAACATACTTGGGTCTCCCTGAGTAACAGGCTCGGGTCCGGCCCGGGGTATTGAGTCCTGCTCTCTCACACTGAAACCTAAAGACAGAAGATGACAGACAGAAGAGAAGATGACAGACAGAAGAGAAGATGACAGACATGTCAAACAAAACAGAGAAGACAATAACTGCAGATAATGAACATCATCATTCTTTTACCAACTGATCATTACAAGATACACAGACCACATCTAAGGCTGGATTCACTATACATTTGAGACCTCAAGTTTTGGTCCTGGAGAGCCATATCTGTGTCTGTCTGTGTGATCTCAAGGCAGCTGGGACCATAGTCACCAAGAAAACAATTGGTAACACACAACGCCGTGAAGGACTGAAATCCTGCAGCGCCCGCAAGGTCCCCCTGCTCAAGAAAGCACATATACATGCCCGTCTGAAGTTTGCCAATGAACATCTGAATGATTCAGAGGAGAACTGGGTGAAAGTGTTGTGGTCAGATGAGACCAAAATCGAGCTCTTTGGCATCAACTCAATTCACCGTGTTTGGAGGAGGAGGAATTCTGCCTATGACCCCAAGAACACCATCCCCACCGTCAAACATGGAGGTGGAAACATTATGCTTTGGGGGTGTTTTTCTGCTAAGGGGACAGGACAACTTCACTGCATCAAAAGGACGATGGACGGGGCCATGTACCGTCAAATCTTGGGTGAGAACCTCCTTCCCTCAGCCAGGGCATTGAAAATGGGTCGTGAATGGGTATTCCAGCATGACAATGACCCAAAACACACGGCCAAGGCAACAAAGGAGTGGCTCAAGAAGAAGCACATTAAGGTCCTGGAGTGGCCTAGCCAGTCTCCAGACCTTAATCCCATAGAAAATCTGTGGAGGGAGCTGAAGGTTCGAGTTGCCAAACGTCAGCCTCAAAACCTTAATGACTTGGAGAAGATCTGCAAAGAGGAGTGGGACAAAATCCCTCCTGAGATGTGTGCAAACCTGGTGGCCAACTACAAGAAACGTCTGACCTCTGTGATTGCCAACAAGGGTTTTACCACCAAGTACTAAGTCATGTTTTGCAGAGGGGTCAAATACTTATTTCCCTCATTAAAATGCAAATCAATTTATAACATTTTTGACATGCGTTTTTCTGGATTTTTTCGTTGTTATTCTGTCTCTCACTGTTCAAATAAACCTACCATTAAAATTATAGACTGATAATTTCTTTGTCAGTGGGCAAACGTACAAAATCAGCAGGGGATCAAATACTTTTTTCCCTCACTGTATACTGACCAGAGAGGTATCCTACAATGATATACTGACCAGAGAGGTATCCTTTGGCAACGAATCCTTCAGAACTAACCTGCTCCGGGGCAGGCTAACGCTAACTCAGGGCTAACTCCACATACCCTGAATGAAATGACTGAGCCGTGAGTTGAGGACCAATGAAATGACTGAGCCGTGAGTTGAGGACCAATGAAATGACTGAGCCGTGAGTTGAGGACCAATTGAAATGACTGAGCCGTGAGTTGAGGCCCAAATTTGAAATGATGAGCCGTGATTTGGGACCAATGAAATGACTGAGCCGTGGGGTTGAGGACCAATGAAATGACTGAGCCGTGAGTTGAGGACCAATGAAATGACTGAGCCGTGAGTTGAGGACAATGAAATGACTGAGCCGTGAGTTGAGGACCAATGAAATGACTGAGCCGTGAGTTGAGGACCAATGAAAGGGACTGAGCCGTGAGTTGAGGACCAATGAATGACGGAGCCGTGAGTTGAGGACCAATGAAAGACTGAGCCGTGAGTTGAGGACCAATGAAAATGACTGAGCCGTGAGTTGAGGACCAAATGAAAGACTGAGCCGTGAGTTGAGGACAATGAAATGGACTGAGCCGTGAGTTGAGACCAATGAAATGAACTGAGCGTGAGTTGAGGACCAATGAAATGACTGAGCCGTGATTGAGGACCAATGAAATGACTGAGCCGTGAGTTGAGGACCAATGAATGACTGAGCCGTGAGTTGAGGACCAATGAAATGATGAGCCGTGAGTTGAGGACCAATGAAATGATGAGCCGTGAGTTGAGGACCAATGAAATGACTGAGCCGTGAGTTGAGGACCAATGAAATGACTGAGCCGTGAGTTGAGGACCAATGAAATGGGACGAGCCGTGAGTGGATGAAATGACTGAGCCGTGAGTTGAGGACCAATGAAATGACTGAGCCGTGAGTTGAGGACCAATGAAATGACTGAGCCGTGAGTTGAGGACCAATGAAATGACTGAGCCGTGAGTTGAGGACCAATGAAATGACTGAGCCGTGAGTTGAGGACCAATGAAATGACTGAGCCGTGAGTTGAGGACCAATGAAATGACTGAGCCGTGAGTTGAGGACCAATGAAATGACTGAGCCGTGAGTTGAGGACCAATGAAATGACTGAGCCGTGAGTTGAGGACCAATGAGATCAGATTCCTTCCCTCCCTCTCGTAATGATTGCGTCATCATCCCCTTCATTTGTGTTAAAAAATAGTAATGTTAAAATATATCACATTACACATTTAGTAACGACAGAATGCATTTTAAACTTCACACACAGTAACACTTTTGTATAACCCAATACAATTATTTTATCAATAGGAGTAAGGTGCTTGTGGTTGTGCCTTGATAAGCACAGTAAAGTAAAACTAATAAAATAAAGATGGTACTTCAACAAGCCTATTTTACACCACAGCCTGCTGAATTTGCAAGATAACTTTTCTTTCATTAGATTTCAGTACAAATTTAAAATGTGTCACTGACTCTCCCATGGATTGATGTTTCAACATTGTCCTCAATGAAGAGTTTGGCATTCGACTGGCAGATAGCAGCAGGCGGGAAAACAATATCCATCGTCGTAGTACGGGTGAGGCCTGAGCTGGAATGTGAAGCTAACTGAAGCCGGATAGCTTTAGAAAAACCCTGAGTTGATCTAGCTTGCTTCGTAGGATACCCCTCAGGCTGTTTTTGCTGGTGACCAGCCTTCGCTGTGTTTTCGCTGGTGACCAGCCTTCGCTGTGTTGTTGCTGGTGACCAGCCTTTGCTGTGTTGTTGCTGGTGACCAGCCTTCGCTGTGTTTTGGACACAGCATACAAGAATATGCTGGTCACCCGCAATCCCAGCATCAAGTCACATTATTCTGGCTCGCAAAGTGTTGTCTAATTTAGTGTTGGGGAAACTAAGCTTCCTGAAGCATTGAAGTTTTCCAGCCAAATGTGTTGAATAGGTCATACTCGAGGCTAATCGACACAGCTATGGCCTGCTGACAAAATATTTAGAAGCCAAATTTTGATGACGTCCACAACCTTAGTGCTGCAAGCTTTTGCGTCTTTATCAAACCAAAACAAAAGGAAAATTACCCTACCATACCTCACTCATTAAAAGACAATAACACTTTACACGCCGAGAGGACGGGACCTATCACTTGTACTTCGAGTCAATCGTACCCAAGTACTTCTTGCAGCTCCACACAACATCATTTTTGTACTACGTCATCTGCGTACGTAATAACATGCTATGTGTACGAAGCCAACCTTACTCAAACATATATCACTCGTTGGCCTATCCCTCTGTTCTGGCCCAGATCTACTATTAACAGGGATCCTCTCAGAATCCCTCACCCTTGATCCACCCTCCTCTACTTTCTTCACTGCCTTAGAATACGACACCTTCTCCACTGCTGTAACCCCGGCCACCTCAACCTGCCTCTCTCGCACCGGGCACCTCTGATCCCCAGCAACATGGGCACCCCTACAGTTGACACACACATTTTCCCCACCAAAACTACACATTCCTCTGTCCCATGTCCTCCTGCACACTTTCCACATCTTGGATTCTCCCTCCTGCTCTACTGCAACATGACCGTAAACATGGCACCTGTAACACCGCAGTGTATTCGGCACAAACACTCTAACAGCATAACTCAGATATCCCAACTTTACTTTTTCAGGTAAAAAACTCTGAATCAAAGCTCAAAATAACAGATACCTCTGTTTCACCAATCTCCACACCAAGAATCTTCAACTTAAATTGCTCCACCTCCACACTTAACGCTACCCAAGAAATCTCTCCCTTCAATGGTGCCCTGTACCTAAGCACAAATCAAGATACAAGTCTTTCCCCAAGAACAGGGTGGTTCTTCACCACCATCACAGCAGTAAAGAACCCCTCCTGATAGGCCCCTTACATCAGCCTCACCCCTGACAATAAATCCCCCAATAACCATTTTTTTTTGGGGGGGGGGGGGGGGGGGGGGGGTGTATGCTCGTCTGGCATGGTTTGCAAAACCACACCCATCATGATCATATTTCCCAGCATGCTCTATTGCAGTTAGATTTTTGTTTGAATTGTTTGTTTCAATATCTGTGTTTTTCCATGTACATTAATCGATTTATCAATCAGTTCATGTTATGCTACACAAAGATACATAACATAAATGTTTCTAATCTATTCCAATCTGTTAGTTGGATTTATTTCACCCATTACTGAGATGGCTGTTCCAGTTTAGGCAGTCTGCCTATTCATCCCTGGCAGTCATTCTGAATGCCGATTGTAAGTTAATAAAAGTTCAAATTGTCAGATATCCCCACTCTGGCTGGATTCCAAAAGGAATTAGACTAGTGATGTTACGTTTGATACTGGAGCATGCGTCGAAATCGCTAAG